TTTTGCGCAAAAAAGCCCTGATTGCGAAAATGGCGATCGGGGCTTTTTTGCGCAAAATCGCGTCTAGATTGGCACGGACTCTTTTCCATAAAAAGTGCTTTTGCGGAAAAGCGTCTGTGCCAATCTAGATGCTCTTTTCCACAAATGCTTTTAATGGAAAACTTTTCCATTAAAAGCATTTGCGAAAAATCATCCCAGTCTAGACGTAGCCCCCCTGTTGAGATCTGGGTATATGTCTGAGACATCCCACCCACATAGCTACATTCACCTGAGCACCAAACTTTGCAGTTTCTCCTCCCGCAGACTTGGCTTGAACTGGTGACCTAGAGCTGACAGACTCTCATCCCAAGCCATGCCGCTCAGAGGTGCAGAACCGGTGATTTGTACTTACCTCCCCGTGCTGTTGCAATTCCTGCCATAAATAGGCCTGCACCCCGCATCCCTGTTAGCCTGTGGCGTGTGGCTACAGATTCCGATCTTGGTTACGCAGGTAGATTTGGAGTGATGACTCTATTTGGAGTGACTGTGGGTTTCCACTGGAGAGACTGAGATTGAAATCTGGCCCGTAATTTGTGTGTGTATATATTTAACCCCTGAAGCACCTTTAAAATAGTACAGATTGCATATGGTTACAAAGGATCCAAGATCCAAGGGCTTGCGTCAGACAACGTATAATCTTTGGAGCATAGCTGTAGGGTGGCTGTTCTAATTTTGTGCGTCTGGTTCTATGGCAGTTTAGAATCACAACCCACCCACAGAGGAGTGTAAAAACTCATAGACCATAAATCCTACTCAGATCTTGCCATCCCTTGTCTGGAACGGGGTTTCGCTCACTTCTCATGACCCATGTGGTGATGCTGACAGCTTGCCAGGTGCATAAAAGTTTGACCTAATACAGGAAATGAAACACTTTGCACCTGCCTTCTTCTTTAACATGGGGGAGGAGGGTGATACCTGGGGAGAGTATTAAGTCCCAGCATGCAGTGCTCCCTTTTGATCCAAGTGAAATGCACCGTTCTCTCGCTCAGTCTGACTTTGCTGCATGCATGCAGGAAAGACTGTGCTTGGTGCCTTTGCCGTTCACCTGATCCAATCGATGCACCGTGGCCAGCATGCTGAGGCCGCAGCGCAGATGTGACAGATGTTTGTGGCTGCCAGGGAGTCTGTGTGGGGAGACTGAAATAGACGGAGCTCTCTTCCCCTTCCTGCCTTTGCAGTCCTCATGTGACTAAGTGCGTGGCAGTGTGGGCTTTGTGGGAGAAGTGAGTTAGCAGCGTAGGGTCCAGAGAGGACAGGAGGCAGATGGGGTCTCCTGTTCAGAGTTGCCCTCCTGTGCCTTTTGGTTCTGTGCGGCTGGGTTTCCACGGGACCCTGCCATGGCGTTCGTTGTGAAAAGCTGGCTTGCCTGAAGGGGCTGCAGGTGACGCTGGGGTGTGGCTACGCTTTTAGGTTTCTGGTGTCTGTTCTCATGATGCTGCAGCAGAGAGAAAAGCAGCAGTGTCCTGTCATCAGCACTGGTCCCGTCACAGACAGTGAAACCACCTGAAGGGGGGCACCATGCCACTCAACCCCACTCTCCTCCTGGAAATGGGGCTGGGACACAGAATGACAAACTCCTGCTCCTATCCCCTTTCTCCATGCACCCGGCCCCTGTTACTGTGATTCATGGCAACTCTCTGATCTCCCATGTCCCTTCCCTGCCCCTTCAGTGCTCTTGCCAGAGGTACGGCCCATTGTAGTGCCTACCTGTGACTCAGGGCAGGCCTCCCTTCTTCCCAGCGGTACGGCCCATCGTAGTGCCTACCTGTGACTCAGGGCAGGCCTCCCACTGAACGGAGCGGGAAGGATCAAGGTTTTGCTGGGCGGTCCCAAGCAACATTACCCGAGGGCGGTGGCTCAACCGGCCCTGGCATGTTTGCTATACACCCAGATGATAGCTATGGAATTGAGATAACTGCATAAGAACACTGTGAAACACAGAGTGCCAGCCAACGGACAGCAATGTTCCCTCTAAGCGTTGCCATCCATGTGCAGAATACATTGTTGTGTGCGCACTGAGACCTGTGATTGTGCACCACCAATACAGACACACGACCTAGCTGTGGGCACTCTGCTAATCAGCGGGGCGGCATTGGAATGTGTCCCGAGCGGCCGCAGAGGCACCCAGCTTGCAGGGGGCACTGGTGCCAGCCTGGGAGCAATGAATACGCTTGCTTGGATCTGTCCCTCGAGACTCAGGGCTCTCCCCCAGCATCGGGGAGTTTGCAGTGGTGCGCCAGCCACCGTGCCATTCCCCATGTGGCTGGAGCACACAAAATCCACTAGCGTGGGCCCCCCATACTTGGGGAATGTCTCCTCAGGCGGAGGCCACCTCAGTGAGGTGTTTTGGTTTTGCTTCTCACTTGGGTGCGGCCCCCAACTGATTTTTCTGTGGGTCAGCGGCCCCCGACCCAAAAAAGATTCCCTGCTCCTGTCTCAGTTCATTTTTTTTCCGTTAAACTGGCCGGCCCCTCCGTAACGCCACTGCGACCGCTAGCACAGCCTTTTTTGGTATGCAAATACCTGGTTGGGTGCCCAGAGTCCTACATGAAATGTGGCTGCCAGTCTGGGTCTCTGGTTGGCGCGAGGACGGGGCTTCTGCATCCAAAAATCTACCCTCCAGCCCCTGGGTCGGACCGATCCCCTCCCGTTGGCAGCTCCAGGAGAGGCCCAGGGACTGAAGTGGAGCTAGGGCAGGGTGGGGGAAGTTGTGCTGCTGCGGCCCATGCAATACCTCTTCCGTGCCAGGACAGAACGAACAACTCACGGGAAACGGCCTGTGAGCACAGAGACACGGCACAGCCCTGTGGTATTTTGCCCCTTGTTTTCTGGAGGCGGGTGCGACTTGGAGGTGGCCTCAGAGGCCGGAGAGCCACCAGCAGGCAGCTGGCGACATAGAATTGAGCAACGGGAGGGTTGCTTTGCTGCTGTTACTCATCCAGGGTGCTTCTGAGGGCGCCGGGGTGGAAGTGAAGTTGAAAACATCTCTTAGGATAGAGGGGGGAGGGGGTAAGAATTGTGCCCAGGTTTAGAGCCAGCTCAGACGGCCAGGTTTGTATAGCAGAGGTGCCCAGAGGCCCCCCTCAGGATGGATCTCCCTTGTGCTGGGGCTGCAAAGGGCTGTGGTCGGAGCTCAGACAATGCAGCGCCTGGGTCTGCCTGCTGGCTCGGCCTTGAGTTGTACAGCTCCCTCTCTGCGGGCGATGGCCTGTTCTCAGTGTAGCGCCTGAGCCGGTGCCCTGCTTCCTGACACCCTCTGCCCCTGCTGCTAGCTCCCAGTGACTCTGGCTTCCGCCAGGAGCACCCGGACTATCCTGAGTCCTGGGCTGGGGGGTGTCGAGAGCTCACCTGGATCCACCCCCATGCAGTGCTGCTGCTAGCTGGCCCTGACGTCGGTGGAGCTGAGGAACCCAGCGCTCGGCGGCTAACGGCCCCGCTCACACCAGCACCGCTGGCAGCCGCATGGCACCCCGGGAGTCATTCACCTGCCATGTTCCTGCAGCCCTTCCCCTGCTCCTCCCTCCCTCCCTCCCAATCAATCAAGCCCTGTCCTGATATTTGCTTCACCCTGCCCCGCTCTCAAGGTGCCAGCTGGCTCAGCTGCCCACCAGCGACCCTCCTCCTCCGTGCCAGAGGCCGAGAGCGCGGTTCTGGGCAGGTGCAGTGTGAGCTGGCTGGAGTTTGTCCCATAGACAGTGTGGCTTTGGGTCACTAGTGCCCAGCCGCCAGGCTCCCTCCCATCCCGCGTGCCCGGGTGGGAGCAGGCAGACACTGGCGCAAAGCTCCTTACAGGAGGTGATGGGGGGACCCGCTGGTACCGCAGCGCAGGTGTGAAGCTGAAGGTGACATTGGGGCTGAGGGAGAGCCCAGGGCAACATGCAGGGGGCAGGAGAGGCCAGGCAGCAGCTGGCCAAGGGACTCGTGGGTGAGGCAGAGGGCTGGTGCCCATGTTCACTAGCGCGGGGGGGGGGGAGGGCTGTGGCCCGGCTCACTCTGCTCTTCCAGGGCACCCCTCAGAGGAGGGCCGGGACCACCCCTGTACTCTTGGGTGGGAAGCGGAGAGACACGGCCAGGGGAGCAATGGGGCTGGGGCCCCCTTGCCCCACAGCTGTGAACCTGGGGAACGGTTGGACCCCTGCTGCCGGCGCTGACCCCCCCCCCAGCCCTGCTAGGCACCCAGGCCGCCCCCATGGCAGGAAGAGGTGGGGGCGGAGCTGGGCTGGGGAGAAGCAGAGCTGGGGTGCAGGGGGGTTCTCCGGACTGGGAGGAGGGTCACGGGGCTCCTCGCCAGTTGCCTCTGCTCAGAGCCATTAGAAATAGGCGAGCCCATTGTGGTCCCATGTGCCCATCTCCCTGCAGGGCAGCATGGGGGCTTGATCCCTCCCCACAGCGTCCCGAGCTAAGGGACTTGCTGAACGGTCGCCCTGGGACCAGGGGCTAGTGGCTCTGAGGTAGGGTTGCTGGCTTGGGCCTTCCGGGAGAGAGGCCGGCCTGGGGCAGGGTTGCTGTGAACCTGGTTGTGGGCTGCCAGACCCTCTGGGGCACACGGGCCTGTGCGCGCTGGCACACCGGCGAAATGAGCTTTGGCTGGCCTCTGACTCCTGTCCCCCTTCTCCTCCCATGCAGGGGAGTCCGGTCCAGCTGAACGGCGTCACCCTGGCGTCCGACCACCCGCCCTCCGGGAGCCAGCCGCACCCTTCCTTCCAGATCCAGCCCACAACCCCGGACCTGGCCCCCTGCCAGCCCCGAGAGACGTGGGGTGGGAAGTATGAGTTCCTGCTCTCCTGCATCGGGTACTGCGTGGGGCTGGGCAACGTCTGGCGCTTCCCCTACCTCTGCTACCGCAACGGAGGAGGTGAGTGCGCGAGTCTGTCGGACAGGGCTGGGCTGGAGCAGGTGAGAACAGGAAACTGCCCCTTCAGTGGGGGTGTCTGGTCCAGTCCCCTGAACTCAAGGCAGGTCTAAGTAATAACTAGCCTGGACCATCCCTGACAGGTGTTTGTCTCACCGGCTCCAACGACGGATTCCCCATCCTCCTTAGGCGGTTCCTCCGCTAGCGGGGTGGGAAGTTTTTCCTAACACTCACCTAAACTGCCCTTGCTGCAGTTTAAGCCTCTTGCCTCTTGCCCTTGCCTCAGAGGTCAAGGGGAATGGTTTTACCCTCCTCCTTGTAATAACCTTTTAAGTCCTTGAGCTAGACCTGTATTCATTGTGCTCTTCTCTGAGCTGTCTCGAATCTGTCCACATCTTTCCAGAAAGGTAGCGCCCATCACTGGACACACTACTTCAGCTGAGGCCTTATCAGCGCAGAGTAGAGCGGAAGAACGATTTCTTATGTCTTGCCCACCACACGCCTGTGGATGATGTTTGCTTTTTTTGCAGCAGGCTCACACTGTTTACTCACATGTAGTGTGTGATCCACTATACCCCTTCCTAGTCAGTCACTTCCCATTCTGTAGGCATGCAACTGATTGCTCCTTCCTAAATGGAGCACTTTGCCTTTGTTCCTACTGAATGTCATCCTATTTACTTCAGACCTTTTCTCTAGCCTGTCCAGATCATTTTGAATGTTAACCCTATCGTCCAAAGCACTCACAACCCCTCCCAGCATGGCATTGCCCTTAAACAGTGTAAGCGACTCTCCATGCCGTTATCTAAATCCCTGACGAAGATATGGATCAGACCCAGATTCAGAATTGCTCCCTGCAGAACCCTGCTTGTTATGCCCTTCCACTTTGCCTGAGAACCACTGCTAACGACTCTCTACAAATAGTTTTCCAACCAGTTTTGCACCCACCATGTAGTAACTCCGTCTAGGCTTTATTTCCCTCGTTTACTTATGAGATGGTCATTACCAAAAACTGTACTAAAGCCAAGGTACACCGCCTTAGCCACTGCCCCGCATCCACAAGGCTTATCTCTCTGTCAAAGAAAGCTACTAGGGTAGTTTGACACAATTTGGTCTTAACAAATCCATGTTGATGGTTACTTATCGCCGCCTTATAGTGTATTGGTCCTGGGGGGCTATATCTGGCTTCTCTTCTGACAGACTATCTACAGACTTTCAGAAGGCGATGTTTTGAGGTCATGGCCACTCATTTTATGAACAAGGACAATCTCTCCTCCTCCCTAATTGGAACCCCAGATCAGCAGAGTCTTGCTGGATTAAAAAGGTAGCACGTGTTGCTAAGGCTGTCTGGCTTAGCATCAGGCCTCTGAGCTCAACTCTGGCTCTGGAAGGAGCATGCCGAGGCCGATCCGGGGTCTGTGCTGAGAAAGCGATGCTCCGTGGTACAATGTGTGCCAGAGCAAGACATGGGAGGTGCTACGAGCCCAGGGCATCACAGATGCTACCCCGGGGCAGCCCCACCAAGCTGGAATCTTTCAGCTGTTTCCAAGTAGCGGGGTTTTGGCTCCCTGGGGGAGCAGTTAATTTGTATTTGCTGCTGCTGTGGCATGTCTGACCAGCCTAGGTTTCCCAGCGCGTGTTTGTGTGACCCACACGCCTAGTAGATGTGGTTCAGTGTCCCATGGAGTGGCTTACAGCCAGAGACAAGAACAAGGGAGCTCTACATCCTAAGCTGTGAGCCAGCTGGTTTTATAGCTCAAGCTGTAGAGGTTCCTATGCTAAGTTCCAGAGGTCCCAGGTTCAAATGTGGTTACATTTGCTCTTGGGATCAGCCTGACACAGGTTCCAACTTGTGTTGAGGCCTCTCTGTGGGGTTCTTGCCTGACCTCATCTCTGGCTTTAAAAGGAGCAGCCCCCCCTGCCACATCAATTAGCCGTGCCCGTGGGGAGCGCTAAGAAAGGGCGGTTCTGGCCCTTACCTCATGATGCAAGCGTCCCTGCAGGGCAGGGCTAATCCCTTCCACAATGCACACACAGAAGGGGAAACCAGGGCTGGCTGGCTGGCATGGGAGGAGCTTGGAACCAGTCCCCTCACTGGATCGGGTCTGAGCCAGCCTTCCTGGTGCACCTGAGAGCTGTAGGTTTCAGCTAGCAAGGCCGCTCCTCACGGTGACTGCCAGGGAGAACAGGGTCTGGAACAGACAGGCCCATGACAGGGGGAGGAAATATCTCTTACCGGACCCACGTCTGCTGGCGCGAGGGAAGCTTTTGCACTCACACACGGCTCTCCTCTGTATCTCTGGAAAGCTTGCCTCTCTCTCCAGCCAACGTTCCCCCCCCCCCCCCCCCCCCCCCGCCTTCTCTCTCCTCTCCTGGGACCAACGCAGCTACGGTAACGTTGCAGACCGTTCGTTCGGATTCCCTGCATGAAACTTGGGGCTGAGCTCTCCTCCTGCCTTAAACAGGAGGCAGGGTCAGTGCCGGGCCTGGCTTAGACGGGGAGATGGCCGGGGGACCTTCAGGGTCCCTCGGAACAGCAGTGTTGTGGAGAAGGGCCATTCTGTGCTGTCATGCAGCTACTGTCTGTGCTGTTGGATCCTGGGAGAGATGTGCAGCCCAGTGCTTACCTGCCCGTGCGCATTAGAGGCTGGAGACGGGAGTTAGCCCTCTCCGTACCAGGGGCGTGAAAACTGAGCCAGCCGTTAGGGGGCCCTGAGGGCAGGCGCAACGCCAGGAAGGGGCGGTGGGGAGGAAGCCGAAGGGGACGGGAAGCCAGAGGAGAGGTGTGAGCCAAGCCAGGAGATTTCCACGCCAGAGGAGGCCGCAGGGGCCGGGGAGGGGAGCAAAGAACGGGAGCTAGCGGTAAGAATAGACGGGGGTCTAGCTCTCAGTCCTCATGCGGCCCTGTCTTCCAGGGCAAGATGAATGGCCTATTGTGGGGGACACTGTGGCTTCATTCACCGCTGCGCAGATGGAAGCGTGAGAGCATCCTTCTTGCTCGAGCTCTCCCGGGAGCCGCGTTCTGGGCAGACTTCCTCTTTGAAGCCATGCCGCTGCCGTCTGCGCGGCAACACGGGCGCCCCTCACCGGCCCAAGTGGGCGGGACCAACGGGGAAGTGCTTTGCATCCCTATTTAACCAGGGGTGTCAAATCCTGTTCAACCAGTTAACCAGGTAAATGTTCTGTTCAACCAGTTAACCGCTCTGACGTGGCGGGCGGGCCGTTCCAGTTCACCACAACCGGTACGGGTGTTGCTTACTGGTTACCCGGTTAACCATTCACCACCCTCATTTTAACTTGCGACGCTGGGTATGCGTGTTCGCCACAAGATGTCCCTGCGGGCTGTCCGAAGTCGGTGACTTAGCGCCTTCCAGGAGCTAAGTAGGTCGGTGCACAGTACGGGCAGATGCGTTTTCAGCACTCGGGCTCCGTATTGAACCAGGCGCATGTGCTCGCATTTCAGGACATCATTAGCATGGCTGGACCTTGCTCCTGCCCGCGTCTCTGCAGTGTCGGTGATTGAAGGGTCGTCAGCGTGCTGGCTTGGCAGTGCTGCTTATGCAGTTGGCTGGAATGGGCCACCCGGGGGCAGGGGAATTGAGTGGCCAGGTGTTTATGGGAGCCACTGTCTTCTCCGGGATGGAGTGTGTCAGACCCACACGTGTGTGTAGCAATAATTCCCCCTGTCCCACATCTCAAGTAGAGGAACCCAAGTAGCAGCCTGGGTGAGCCTGTGAGGGCCTGGGTCTCTTGGGGCACCCCGGCCGTGGCCTCGGTTTCCTAAAGCCCCCAGAGTGGTTCAGCGGATGCCTGTGAGTGTCTGTGCTGCGGGCTGCAGACTGTAATGGTAGCCCTGCAGGAGCCTAGAGCTCTGTCCCCTCCTTCCATTCCAGCTACAACTGACTTCACTTAAGTCCAGAGAATTTCTGGCTTCCAGGGCGGGAAAGGCTCCCCGTGGGTTGTGGGTTTTGCCGCCCTCTGACGGCCAACGAAGTGTCTGTCGCTAAAGCCCAGGGGGAGATTCCTCTCGCAGGGAAGCAGCAGAGCCCAGCCTGTTGTCCGGGATCTGAGCGGGCCTGGCTGCCGCATGCCAGGCGACTTCGGGCCTGGGGATGGGCATGGAGAGGGAGTGGTGCCGTGTTTCGAGGGTTGCTGCTCAGTCTGGAATCGCACAGTGGTCGCTCAGCTTTGCAAAGGTCTTCTCCACCTCCCCCCTCATGTTCCTTCATCCGTGGGAAATACCCGGTGTCCAGTGACAGGGTGGGCCAGCTCCAGAGCTGACAGAGGAGGCGTTCCCTCACCCAGGTGACATGTTCGACGTAAAGGATCTTGTTTGGGGACAAAGTCTCTGCTTTGCCATGTAGAACGGCTGTGATAGACCGGGCCGGTCTGGGCACAGCTGAGGGCATCCGCTCAGGGCAAATTGCTCAAATTCGGGGCTCCTTACAGCCCCGGACTGGTGGCCCTTCCCAGGTAGGCCACAAACCAGTCGCGCAGAGCACTTCAGCTGCCTGCCTGGCCAGCCTGAAGCCTCACGAGCAAAATCCCTCCGACACTCCAGCGCGCTCCGTGCCCCAAACAGCCCCGGGCCTGCCCCCAGGAGAGGGGTTTTAGGACCCAATCTCACCCACCCTGAACAAGTTCTGTCTGGGTCCAAGAAACCAGCCACAGATCCCAGGTCAATTTACCCTCTGGACCTCACCCACAATCACGCTGAGCCAATCCTTTAGCATCTAAAATCGAAGGCTGTGGCTAAAATCGAAGATCCCTTATTCCTGATTTTAAAGAGGAATAAGGGATCTTCCGGAAAAGGGTTTACTTTTATATGTGTGCTAATCCCAGCTCTGCTGTTGGCTGCCAGAGCCATCCCTTCCTTCTCTGTGCCTCAGTTTACCCATTAGTAAAATGAGATGCTGACCTACCATGCAGGAGGGGTGCTGGCGGTAGTTAGAACGGGTAAGGTGATGTTACGTGAGTGCTGGGATTTTGGAAGCAGAGCCCCTGTGTGGGTGGGGTTTCATGTTGCGCTGTCAGGCTGCCTTTCATTCCCCAACAGGATCCTTTCTCGATGGCAGGGAAAGCGCTCTAGTCGTCAGTGCCGGGGGCTCTGCCGGAAGCAGCAAGGTGGGGCCGGCTGGCTGGTGTTCAGTGGGCTCAGAGCTCGCTCTGCCGCACGCCTCGGCCTCTCAAACCCGACACGCGATTCCCCAGCACCTTCCTGATGGAGGGGCAAAGCAGGAAGGTGCCCTGTGCTGTGGCTGCCAGCAGCTGGGCTGAATGTGTCGCCTCTGCTCCGGGTTTCCCAGCCACCAGCTGGCGGGCAGGTGTTCTGCTCCGGCCCCGGCGCTCCCACCAGCTGCGAGCTCCTGGGCAGCACGGTCTCTGCTCTGCCGCCTCTCTGCCTACAAGAGAGGAGCTGTCCCGCTCGCCCCACAGGGAGCCTGGGCGCTGCCTGGCAATCACCACAGCAGAGGCACGTGCTGGTACTGCCCCGCCCGGCTGTGGCTGAGCCCCTGAGTTCTTGCCTGGTCCCAACCCAGCGTCTTGCTCACCGAGGCTGTTGGCTCCTCCCCAGGGGTGTTCCTGATCCCGTACTTCGTCATGCTGCTCTTCACCGGCCTGCCCCTCTTCCTGCTGGAGCTGAGCCTCGGCCAGTACGGCGCCGCGGGGCCCATCACCGTCTGGAAGTGCTGCCCGCTGCTGAAAGGGGAGGCTGTGCCCG